GCCGAACGGAGCGACTGAACTTGCTAATCTGTCAAGTGCTCTTTGTGCATCCTCCATACATTCGAACAAGCAAACGATGTCGTCGGCGCACTCCAAATTGCACAGCTTTTCTCCAGCTGTCCATTCAATACCTACATTTTAGAGACCGCTTAGTGCGTTATCCAGTATTTCGTCTATGACGAAATTGATCAGGAATGGCAAAAGAGGGCACATTTGACGAACACCGCTACTAGTTACGAACGATCTACTCAGCTCGCCGTAAATCCTTGCGCTACCAGAAGTATGTGAGTACAGTGAACTCAGTACATTCACATACTTCTGCGGCTTTCCTTAGCGAAGGAGCGAACCCATAAGGGATTCAAGATCAACTGAGTCGAAGGCTACTTTTAGGTCAAGGAACACGACAACTGTTGGTCGACGGTGCACATGGCGTAGCTCGAAAACTTGACGCAGGTGAAGATTTGATCGATACAACCGCAACCTGGTCGAAATCCTGCTTGTCGTTCGCGGATGTTTGTCTCCCTAAAGTGTCAGACGTCGAAGTATGATGGGGGCTAGTAACTTGGTGACGATTGGGATCGAACTTATTCCACGGTGCTTTGCGCGGTCATTGCGAGATCCCTTCTTAAAAATCGGAACGATCACTGATTCGCTCCGGAGGGGAAACCCGTCCAGTTCTGGTGCTTTTCCTTTCTTCAGGGCTTGGATGCAAGAACGAACTTCTACAGTAGGAGGTTCAGATGGCACTGCCCATGGACTCTCAGCCACATCGCAGGAGATAGCCTGGTCAGCTGAACTGTTCGCTGAAGTACTCCGCCCTCCGGCCAAGCTGTTCCCTATTATGAATAGCTTGTCCACATTTGTCGCAGATTGTTTCACTGACCGTGGTTCGCCGACCTCCCGTATTGCGTATCAGTTCAAACAGTCTCTGACTATTCCCTGATGCAGCCACTACTTCCATTTCAGTAGCTATCGTTGCCCACCAGTTCTCACGGTCTTTCATGAGGCTCATCGTGAGATGACGTTTTAGACTCCTCCTAACCCTGCCTTGATCGCGGGCGGTGGGGATTTGCCTCTTTTTCTCCATCGGTGCTACTGACTCGTCAGATATCCAATGCCTCGGGCGAGCTACTGCTTCAGCTCCACAAGCAACGTACGCTGCGGAGTGCATTGCTCTGCTAATCTGATTCCATGGCTCATTTACAATACCACCCCGCAGTGCGTTTAGCTCTTGCCCTAGTTCTGATTCAAAACGGGCACGAACGGCTGGGTCAGATAAGCGATGATCTGCCAGTAGAGTTTAATGAGACTTTCTGCGACCAGTGAGTTGGAGATTGAACCGCATCAACATTAATCCATGATCAGATTCAACGCGGGTGGTTCAATAGGACCTGCAGTTTTGTACTCAGCCACGCCAATGGTAACTTACTGCTATGTGGTCGATCTGAGTTAGCGTGCCAGTTGAATCTGAGCGCCACGTTGCTGTCCGTTGGGAGGTGTGTCGGAAGTCGGTGCTGAATAGGAACAGATGATGGTCTGCGCAGAACTGAAGAATTCGATCGCCATTATCTGTTCGCTGGCAGAGCAGAGCACAATGACCGCTTAGGGAAGCTTCAGATGCACTCGGTTTTCCAAGTTGCGCGTTAAAATCACCTGCGAGAACAACTATATCGGTGAGTTTATCATAAAACTCGTCGTTTTATGCGTCAGAACTGCAGCTGGTCGGTGCATACGCTGAAATGGTGAATAAATACCTTTTGGTGTTGTTTCCTTTCCGGACGCTGATAGACCCTTGGAGCTGCATCGCACATAAACGGCAGTTGACGAGGATCCAATCGAGCAGTGTGGCTTTGACTGTGTTGTTGAGTACAATGCCCACACCACGCTGAACGGGATTCATTCTCACTTGACGTGCGGAGGAAAAACCTAGAAGACAAATCCGGTGCACTTAAGTGGGATGTAGTACTAGGATCCTGGATTCGAGTCTCCGACACGCAACAGATATTAATCCCTAGGGAGTCCATTGTACGCGCCAGACACGCTTGTTGACCTACCTGCATCAAGGTCTTCACGTTGAAGGCCACCCGCTTCAGTGTTTGACGAGGTTTCACAATCTGCACTCTATTTTGTGGCAAACTACTTACCGAGTCATTTGGCAACGAACTTTGGCGAGTGACAAACAAGTTGTCTGAAGGAATGTTACGGGTTGGAAGGAGGGATAAAGGGAGAGGGTTGGGTACGGAAGATAAGGAGTTAAACAAAGGTTGGGATATCTGAGCAGTAACCCACTTATCCTT